GGGATAGCTAATTTCACTAGAGTATCATTATAAGGGAATGAGTCACTGACGGGTGCTTGGAGTTGCAAAGGCATGTCAGAAATATCTTGAAGGCATTTGTATCTCATTCCAGGATAACATACAGGGTGGGGGGGGATGGATGGTTGCCACGTTGTGGCAGGACTCTTGGTGGTGATGATGGCTGAGTGGTGGGCTGGCTGGCTGGTGAACTGCTTGAGAACCATTCTCTTCCATTTACAAGAGTATCATTATAAGGGAATGGTCGCTGACGGGTGCTTGGATAATGGGGATAGCTAATTTCATGAGCATTGCTAGGAGGTTTTTGTTAATAAGAGATCTCAATGAGTAGAGTTATTTGGTTTTTGGAGGAGCTTTGTATTCCAATGGGAAGTAGAAGAATGAAGATATTTGAGTTTGGTATCAGAGCCTTCTATTTAGTTTACTGGGTGATTCTAAGGAGTGTTCTAATGTATAGTTACCATGATCTCCTACTTTGGTGGGCCATCCCTTCTAGGATCTCGATTTTGTCGCTCCCGGAACGGATCTCTTGATGTTTTTTTGGGATCTCGAACTCCACTCATAGGGATCTCGATTCCTACTGTTGGGGATCTCGACACCAACCTTAAAAACCAACACAACAACAAAATTGATGATTTTCTTTGTTTATAGCCAACTAGGAACACAATTATTGCTTGCTTGCTTGCTATTAATAATGAGATCCCTACTTTAAAGAAATACATAATTCTAGATTACCATACACTTTAAGGTTGGTAACAAGATTATCATACACTTTTAAGGTTGGTAACAAAATCCCCAAAAAGTTGGGATCAAGATCCCCAAAATTGGAATCTCGATCCCTAACATTTGGGAATCGCGATCCTTAACATGTGCATTGTACGGATGGCGTTCCTAGCTATAGGGACCTTCTAGCATTTCACGATCCCTCGCTCCCGATCCCAACAACTATACCCTAATGCAATGAAAACTTGTTAAACTTACTCATTGTCGTCATCATCATCATCATCATCATTTGAGCCTTATCCGAACTATTTGGGTCGATTGCATGAATCTTGTATTGCCATTTCGCTCTATCAAGGGCCATAACCTTAGTCAGAACATAGGTCACTATATATTTTTTCACTACTTCCATTCATATCCTTTGGGGCCTTCCCTTTACTCTTTTATGGTCACCACTTGAACCAAATCACCCCTTCTAATCAATATTGTTCTAGGTTGACACGCTGCACATGATCAGACCAGCTAAATCTACTTTCTCCCATTTTATCACCTATTGGTGCTACTCTTAAGTTCCCTCGAATTTCTTTATTTTGAATTCTATCCTCCTTATCTTGTCACACATCTATCTCAACCATGGATGTGTTGTTCCTCGTGCCTAACATTCCGTCCCATAAAGATAGAACTTCCCCTAAAATTTTATCAATATGCAACGATGACATAAGACTCCAAAAGCACATCTCCGCTTCATTCACCTAACTCTAATTTATGAGCAACATCTTCCTCAATCTGTACTTTGTTATGGATTATCAACCTAGATATCGAAAAGAATATATTTTAAGTACTTATTGGCCATCAATATTAACTAAATCCTTGTTTCTGCTCCTATTATTTCTAAGTCTGCATTCTATATTTATATTTGTCTTAGTCTAACTGATTTTAAAATATTTATATTCTAAAGCATCCCTTCAAAGTTCTAACTTTGTGTTTACACCCATGTTGGAAAAATCGGGCGATCTAACCGGTAACCGCCCGGTTAGATTGGAACCGGTCATTGGCCGGTTTTAGTTTTGGGAAGTTTTGGTGATCAGCTGGTATTTTAACAAAAAAATTTCAAAAAAATGTATATAAAATCCCAAAAGTAAGAAATTTGGTTTGTATGCACTTTTTAATGTTCTTTACATATTGGTAAAGATTAGAAATTGTTTTGGTCATTAATACTCACTTTTATATTTTCCCATCTTTTTTGAAATTTTTTAAAAATACTCCTAAGCACAAATTGATTATTTAAAATCCAAAATTTTGATTAATTTTCAACGTCATTTGAATGTGTTCTTATTTTAATCATTCTTTATATGCTTTTCATATTTTAGTAGATTTTTTTTTTTTTTTTTCAACAATTTTTTGACTTCTTGGGACTTGCCTGGTTAAAACGGTTGAATCGTCCGGTTTACCGGTTGAGCCGGTTAAACCGCTTAGGGCCCCATGTCCGGTTAACTGTTCCGGTTCGATTTTGTGAACACTGGTTTACACCGTCTTTAGTATCATCACAAAATTACATCTATAAGCTTACTCATCACAAAAAAAAGAAGAAGAAAAAAGTAAAAAGAAAAAAGAAGAAGCTTCTTATTGTCTGGATGGGTCCTCGCTGGGGATAGGATACTTGTTAGAAACATTTTCTGGACCAAGGCTTACTATTCTGCAATGTTCACATGAGAGAGGAAGAGATTATTGAGCACTTGCTTTTCCACAATGGCTTTTGTTCAAAGGATTTATCTTCTTTCTAAGGCTGTTTGGGTTAATTAGGTGATTAGGTCCTTGCTACTTCTGCAATAGCACGAGAGAACGCATGAAAAGAGAAACAAACCTTCACAGAGCAAGGAAGTGATTGAAGGTTGGGCATTTTTGAAGCTTAAAAGGTGTGCCCCGAAAGAACTTTTAGTGAACACCCTTTTTGCGTTGCTCTTGGTAAGCAAGCTACCTTGCATTCTAAAGCTCGAAGCTTAGCCAAGGGAAGAAAGCAACTCAGTGTGAAATGAGAGTGGAAAGAAGTGGCAGAGATGAGGGTAGGCAAGGTTCGCTGACTCATTGAGCTGCTGCTTTGATAGTAGAATAAGAGGTTACTTAGCTTAGTATCTTAGCTCGATAGAGTTAAGGGAAGGAGAAGAAAGCGGCAACTGCTTCTTGCTTTCCTGCTTCTCGCTGAGTGACGTGCTTACTATCTGCTTCTAGCTTCGCTTATGCCTCTCGTTTGGTTTGCTAGCACAGCTTTGAAAGTAGAAGACAACGAACAAGTAGAAGGAGAAGCAAGGTACAAAGCTACAACTAGTTCTACACCTTTAGCTTTTTAAGCTAAGATAGAAAGTTTATAATCTTGTTTGGTACGCTTAAGATTGCTTTTTTGCTTTGGCTTTACTTGGTATGCTTAAGAGTGCTTGTACTCGCTAGAGGGCTTTGACGCTCGTTACTTTGTTTCTTAGCTTCAACGATTTCCAGCTTTGCGCTTTGCTCACTTACGTTAGTTTTAGGGCATCAACAACCTAACTCCTCCTTTCGCTACGCTTTGTGCCTTCCACGTCACTTTGTTCCTTCTACCAACAAGCTAAGGAGCTGAGTGAAGACATACGCTTTCGCTTCGCTCACTTACGTTAGGGCAACCTCTATACCTTTGCTACGCTTGCTTTGTGCCTTTGCTTTGCTTACGCCTCTCACTGACTCATTTGCTAGCACAGCTTTGAAAGTTGATTTACTACCTGTAGCTTTTTTCTTCCCAATGCAGTGGGTCCATTGCTTGATTCTATTTATGTATCTGTTAGCCTGCAGAGTAATGGCCGGATTTTAGAGGATTGGCTTCTTCATAGCAGAGTATTCATGATAGAATTTTGTGCGCTGTATCACTCATGCTCAAGCTACAGGTTTTTTTTTTTTTTTTTGTTTTTTTGTTTTTTGCGGGGTGGGGGGGAGTGGGGGGCAGGGCTGTTACTTCAAGAAGGAGTGCGGATTTAAATTTCACTGGGAGCTCAAAGGTAATCCCTGTCTGGTGGGTGCAGTGTTTAAACAGCTGGTCTAACTCGACTCAAGTTGGTTTAAGGGTGTTGACTTAAAAACAGCATCCCTGTTTTCTGGATACTTTTGTTATATACAAAATGTGAAAATTCGGCAACTATTTTGTCGACTTTCAACTTGATTTGCAGACTCAATTTGTTTTTTTGAAGACTGATTTTTGACGCAACTTCGTCTTTTTCAAGCCAGAGCTTAGTTTGCCGTTTTAGGATGATAGGCAAGATTGGTAGATGTTATGTAATATTGGGGGGGCAAGCGAACACTTGTAATGTATGCTGTTTTAGGGTTCAAGTGTGTTTCTCTATTTCTTCAAATGAGGTTTCCATTAATGTCACTGGATGGGTTAGGGAGGACTTCCTCCTGTTTACCTATTAACTTCAAGATTTATGTGGTACTTTACCTTGTCCTTCCATACATTCATCGAGAAGCAGAGGTTGCTGATGCATTCACAAACTATGACTATGTTTTGACAACATAGATGTGAAGTGGGATTTGCTTTGTGGTGACCTGAGCTTTTAATTTGGATTAGGGCCATTTCTGTGTTTTTTCTTGCCTTAAAAAGGTTCTCTTTGTACAATTTTTAAGTAGGAGAATCCTCCTATCGCAAAACTTGGATGTACATGGGCTCTCTCTATTATTTGGGAGGTAAGCTGGGTTGTACTTGCAGCCACCAAATAAGATGAACATGATTCTTCTGATGGAGTTGTGGGCTCAAATGCCACATGCGCTTTCTCTTGGGCGCACACCCCCTCTCCCATGAAGTTATTCATTGCTCCAAACATAGCTGTTAACATAGGGAATTCATGCTTTCTTGCATGCATGCATGCTTGTATGGATAGTTTGGCTTAGAGGACGGGAAAATCCAAGGTCAGAAATCTTAATTTTCCTCATGCAAACCTGGTGCCTCACAATATTGATTTGTGACTGTATTAAGCAAGTAATGGTCTTAGGTTGCTGCGTTTTCTGTTGGCATTTTTGACATCATACGAGTCAAATTGCATGCATCACTACTGAGATTTTTGACATTTATAATATGAATGTTGTCCTCTTACTTTTATTTCTCAGCACCTACATGCATATTTATCTGTTACAGGGTCCCTGTCTGTTCTTGTATTGTTATTTTTTCAATTGGCATCTTTTTGCTCTGAGGGAAGGATTTGCCAGCACAGGAAGTTTTTTAAATCAAGCTACGACATTGTGTAAAAATTTATTGCAATTAATGTGTTTAAATATATCCTTTGTTGCTGTTTGTTGTCAGTGGCTCTGCGGGAACTTGTGCTGATATAAATCTGGTTTCTTATGTCTCAAGAAGCTTTTGGTCGATACCTTGACATGCATGGGCTTTACAATGAGTATATAAACTCCAAGTTTGGCGAGAAAATTGAGTATTCTGTATCTAGATGTATTTCCACAAACTCATAGGATTCCCCTCAATTTGAAGCTGACCAGGTGAGCAACAAGCACAAGTATATTTCTGGAAAGGTTGAATTTGTATGGAAAGTACAGTTTTTCTGTTTAGTCAGAAAAAATAACTCCAGTCAAATAATCCTGAATTTCACCCACCTACACTCATGTTTGAAGTTTGCATGTCATGAAAACCAACTTACTGACCCAAAAAGAAATCTCAAATTTTATATTTCTGCAGACAGTACAGAGAGTATTTGGATCATGTCCTTGATTACCTGACAAGTTTCTTTCAGCGCACTGAACCCTTGCAAGACGTTGATAGAATATTTTAAAAGGTTAGCTTTTGTCTTTTACTTATGCTTTTTCTATTTCAACTTGTGACTTTTTTTTAATTACACAGGTTTGTAATCTATTTGCGCTGCTAGATTATATATTTTTGTTTTCTGGGCCTTATCATTTACATCTTAATCTTATTGTTCCCAGACCACTGGGCTCCCTCCAGAGGGTCTCTCTTTGATCTATCTTTGTTTGATGGAGGGCATTCTTGAGTATTTTGTTTTGGCCTCGACACTCCATCCTGATTTTTCGAGGTTTTGCAATTGTGTGACCTGCCTGGAACGGCGAGTGAATCTAGAACATTAACATCTTCCTTTCATTCTGGAACAGGGAGTGTTCTAGACCACTAAAGATCAACTCATCTCGGAAACTAATATGATGAAGGCATGAATAGTACCCCAATGATTAAACATGATGAAGGCATGAATAGTACCCCATTGATTAAACCCACTGACTATTGTGTAGGAAGGAAGTTCATCTCATACACTATTCCCCGCAGGCTACTGTGTCAGTGGCTTAACATGCCCGCATTCAAGTTTTCTTGCACATAGACTATATTCCATTGATTTGTTTGTTTGGGTGTTGTACCTGTATCGGACACATGCTGGTGCGTACAACGATACATATTCTTCTGGATTTCTTTTTGTGTACTGAACATTGACTACATCATATATATAGTTTATGAAATTTGATCATCTGTTTTTAATTGGGTAGATTCATAAAGCTTGATATTTATATGAATTCATCCAACAAGGCATAAATTCTTTTGGCTTCTCATAATGAAATGGAATATTAGTAAGCAGTGTTGGAGCTTGTCTTCTCTTCATAACATGGCTGTGAGTTGGTGTAACCTGGGAGAACTAATCCAAAATGTTCCAAAAAGGAACACTTGGGATGAATTATTGAATCCCGTGATGTGTATTTATGTATAAAAATATTTAGAGGGTAGCACCAAAGTTGGAACTTGGGCTTCTATTTCTACCTGCAACTGAAAGATAGAAACTGGGGTCAGATGAAATGAACCTTGAATGAATGGTTATGTAGGGCCATTTTTCAAAAATGTTTCTCTAGCCATTTTATGCATTCAAACTATAAATGCTGCCTAAACAGCTTTATGACTGCGTTTAATTGAAATTCCTTTTAACCTTCTGTGGTCAATATATTTATATTGAACGCCCCTAAAATAATGTTGTGTTTGACTCCTAAGCTTGCCAATACAAAAATGCGAGGGTATATCTTATGTCTCCTCGCTGATAATTTGGGTTTTTTGCATCGGGTTTTGGCAGGTTGAGGCTGAATTTGAAGAGCGCTGGGCAGACGGTAAAGTGCATGGATGGGAAGGCAAAGGTCTGGAAAATGGGAACTCCACAAATCAAGGGGCCATCATTGATCTTGATTATTATGATAATGCAGATGAGCTTGTTTCACTAGGCCCCAAAAATTAAAAGAGGTTGGTATCTTTTATGCTGAAATTGTGATTTCTCCTCACAGGCTTTGTGTACAGTATGATATAAATGTTAGAGCGTTTATTCTTCTAATTGCTGGGATATTTTGGGTTCATCTGTAAAGTCTTTTTGTTTTAATGAAAATATGTTAACTTTTGTATTGAGTTAAAGAAAGGAGTACAAAGGTGTATGAGAGGGAGGCACCAAAACAACCAGGGGCCCTGTACAAAACCCTCACAGGTCCAAAAAATGTGCGCCTCTAAAATGCTTCTCATGTACAACTTAGTAAACAATAGGAAAAGAGAAGAAAATGAGCTAGGATGATAGTCAAGCTTCCAGTTGGAAAAATTGTGGATTGGGTGGCTCCGGCTTTTGCAAGAGCATATGCGACGGAGTTAGCTTCCTGCTGTACTTGTCTCCAAGAGGCTTTGCAAATATGGGATATCTCGTCAAAGAGGTAGGTGAGGTGCGGTCTCGGAAGGCCGTCCTAAAAAATTCTTGTTGTCCCCTTCAATGATAAGGAAAGGTTACCAAGAGGGTTTGAAGGCTCTAAGGCCTTTGAGAAGGGCGGCGGCTTCAGCTGTAGTAAAGTCTCCGACACCTATATGTCTAGAGTAAGAGAGCAGCGTGTGCCCCTCTTTGAATCTCTAAAGAGGCCTTCAACACCTGTTGGTCTTCGGTTTCCCAGGGAGCTGCCATCGAAGTTAAGTTTAATTTGATCTCGGTTGGGTGGTTGCAGAAGGGAAGAGTGAGGAATTATTGTATGGCGCCAATTGATGAGGGTCTGCCAGCTTTGGTAGAAATCAAAGTTAGAACCGAGCTGAAGAACTTGCTATTCTTGGCCCAACAAATAATGGAGGATCTAAGCAGGTCCATGAGGTAGTTGAGTGTCTTGTGCTTCCCTTGGAAGATCCTTCGATTTTTCTTTGTCCATATAGTCCAAATAAGGGCAGACATCGTTTGTTCTCCAGAGGAGTAGCCCCGGTTTTGGCCAAGAGGGGAGAAAAGGTGCTGAAACTAGGGTTGGCAATGGGTTGGATCCAGTTAGACCCGGACCCAAACCCGGATCCGAATAGTGTTCGTGTCTAATATTTGGACCTGGACCCTACTCGTTGGGTCCATTTTTGGGACCCATATCCGGATTGAGGTTGGGTCCGGACATCGGGTCCCGGGTCGGGTTGGGTCTAGGTCCATTGCCAGCCCGAATAATATACATATATTATTTAAATATTATAACACAAAATATATAATTATATTTATTTAAATATCAATTAAATATTATTTAAATAATAGCACATGGACCCGAACCCAGACTTGGACCTGAATAGTGTTCGGGTCCAACATTTGGACTCGAACCCGACCCGTGGAGTCCAATTCTTGGACTCATACCTAGAGCCAGGTTGGGTCTAGACGTTGGGTCCTCGGTCCATTGTCACCCATAGCTTGAAGATATGAGGAATGGATGGAGGGGTAGTCCACTACAATCCAAAGAGGCTAAAGATGTCGGCCCAGAGGACTTGAGCAAGAGAGCAGTGGACAAGGAGGTGAGGAGTTCGATTCCTATCATTAAGATGCATGATGCAATGGTTTGGTAGTTGTAGGCCTCTCCGCTGCAAATGGCCCACCGTAAGG